ATAATCACAGCATCAGGTTTTTGCGGTTTTGTGCAAACGGACTATCCCATATGAACACCCTCGAAAATCTAAAAGTACATCAGTACACCTGGTACCGGGAAGCTTGTAGACAATAGTCGACGATCGACTTAATTATCGTAACGTCTGCTCGATAATGGATGTTCGCGTTAAAGGAGGCACAGCGCCGTCAACCAATCATCACATTGTTGCTGGCATGTACACTGCGAAAAATGGAATACCATGCGAAGACCTGGCAAGAGAAGTAACCAGAGAATCAAATGAGAAACATTATCTTCTGCGAATATGAGGAAGAAGATTGGCAAACATTACACTACGGTTAGAACAGATTGTAACGATGACCGCAGAAGCTACTTAAGAGGTGATAACTCGAATTACTGCCGAATGCTAAGGTTTCAAACCGGTGGGCCTGCAGCATGGAAGTCAAAAAAAGGACTTTCTGCTGGACTCGAGAGTTACAAATGACTGTTACCGAAAAGAAGGCTGCATTCAAAAGAAGGCTTGAAAGGAAAGTGTTCAATTCGCATGTATAAGTGCTCAAGGGGACAGCGAAAGCCAACGTTGATTTCTGGAAGAAATTCGGTGAGGTATTAGAGTCGAATTTCCAGATGACAAACAGTATTGCAGGAGACAATCTGTCGCCTCTGAGGTAAAAACGTGCCGACTGAGAGAATGAAGGACAAGTATGGATACTTAGAGATGAGAATATCCTTCGGTGAGGGAGAGAACTCTCTAACTCTGAGCAACCGCAAAAAGACTTGCTTTAAGAGCGGCAGCGAACAGATACTAACTTTACTATGGATGAAATCACACACCATGAAAAGCTTTCAAAACTGAAAGGGTGTTGTTCAAACATTAGAGGTACAGGACTTGCTCTGCATTACACGTGTCTTTCACACTGCAGTTGCTACAAGGGACACCGGGGGACCAGAGGTTGTAGTGAGGCTATAGGGAATGTTCGAATTATCGGGTCATCGCCTTACCCAGGAGGTGCGGAATGACTTACTTCAAAATAAATGGCAGCGTTGATCCCAGTCTGACAGGAACACATCTGATATTTGCCTACGCCATATCGTTGAGAAATCGAGTTCTTTCATTCGGTTAATGTGCTTTTTGCATTTGTTTAAAACCTGACGGGTCACCGCGAACCTACTAATGGGCGTGCCTTCGAACATGTGAATCAGAGCCAGATGCTATAGGCGACATATTCATTATATACAAATAGTATGGGCTGCGAAAGAGAAAATGGCATTAAATCAAAACCTTCTAGCGTTGTTACCAGTCTCCTCCAAAACGGCATTGTATACCCTCTCCTGTTTGTTGTACATGGAGAGAACAAAGCGAAGAACATCTCTATCATGTAGATGTCGAAACGAGATGGTTACTGTTTCCAGACGACCTTGTCCAGGCATCTTCTAAACCTGATCTATAGCGCTCTCCGGAAAGTCGAGGTGACCGCCATGCGCGTGAACGGATTTAAGCCGAAAAGCCTAGTGCTTTCTCGTTCTCCACACCTTTTCTCCCCATATTATCGAAGGAGCGGGACAGATAGAGTTTCAAGTTCCTCGTAATCAGATTTTTTGGTAACAGAAAATGGGAGAAACAGATCGAGCGACTGACTGTAACAGCCGCTGGCATTTTGCGCGACCGACCGTTAAGACTAACGCAGTGGTGAGTCTGGATCTCGCTCTCGATGTTCAGGTCGATCTTCATCCCCATGCTTACCTACGAACCACGGACACAAGTCGTCCATGAAAGAAAATTTGAATCACAGGTCCTACCGGTTTAAATGGTCCTTCTGAAACGAATCGTTAACCTTTCGCCTCTCCATGTGATCTTGAGTGCAAAAATCCTAAACAGCTTTCGTGTACAGCTGCTGATTTTTCAGTGGGGTCACAACTGCGACGGTTTGGGCATGTGTTGCAATGCCTCCAGAAAGGAAGGCGAAACAACTACTATTTGCCCAACCAACCGATAGAAGAACCGAACCAAGATTAACCTGGCGCAAGCGTACTGTAGTCTGCTTTGCGTTCCGACTGTCTCCTGCCGAAATTAAGATGCTGGGACAGAAGCGGGAATATTGAAGTATTGTACGACGTCTATCTCCTCGACCCAAAAGAAGGTCAAAAAAGTGAAGTGAATTATATACCATATGCATCGCCATTCTCCTAGAATGTTATAAGTGTTATAATTAGTAGTGTATGCCTTCTGTTCGGAAAGGGGAGCAACTCCTTTGCTTGCATACTTTCACAATTTACGTGTCCATCGCACTATTGCACCCTAGCTGTGAGAAAGCATGAAGTAGGCTGATCTCATGAATCACAACATGAGATAAAGTACAGATTTCGGAGATCCTCAGTTAATATTCGGCGCTTCACTAGACGTAGCAGTCGCGGCTACGGTACAGTCATGTAAATGCTACGGTAAACGTAAGCGAAATAACTAGTTGTCCTGACCGAGCAGATGTATCAAATATTGCACGGTCTCGCACTCCTGACAACCCTCTGCAGCCAGTTCTCTAGAAATGGTATAACCGCAGTGTTTAAAAGTCGGAACACCGACAACACGGACCGTCATGGCATTAGTTATCTTCAAAAAACATCAAACGATTGTCCTTATCAATAATCAGAAAATACACGGAGGGACACTTCTAAACTCTCACGTCAGCCAAAAGCAGACAACATCACGGACTTAAGAACTCAGTGAAGTTTATAAAATGGCGTGGGCAGATTTTCAAAATGAACGATGAAAATATAAACCCGGTAAAATCTTACGCACATGGCCTGCATCAAACGATTCCTCAAATACCTTAATTGCGTACATAAGCATAATGAAGACGGCGCTCACATTGGACTACACAGCGTCAACTGCCAAAGTGGAAAGACCTGAAGTTTTGTAATCGTTTTCTACATGAGCGATTGAAAAATTCATAGTGAAAAGGCTGAGAAATTTGCGTTTATGACCATTCACAAGTCGATCTGGCATTCAGCTACGAGCCTGACAATCCCAATTTGATCAAAAATAAAATGCGGCATTAAAGAATACACTGCACATGGAATTTACCAAAATACCATAATTAATATCTCAGTTCATTGCAGGTCATATATAATTCAAACTAAGGCGAGATTAGCAAACATCTGTAGGTTTACTTCAGCACATTGTTTCCATTCTTACTTCTTGATAAAAATAATATTAACAAAATCACTGACTACTACGCATTTCGCGTAGTATCACCTGATTCAATCATCGATTTATACATCTGTACAGGCAACAGTCGAATACTTGCTTCTTGCAACTACTCTGTTGAACTGTATTCGTCTCTCATCTACTAACGTTAGACATATGAATGCGACAATGAAGAATAGTCAACAGTTTAAGAATTCCGTTGACGAAATGACCAACAAAGAAGTATTTTTATAAATGCAACAATCTGAGGTAACTTACGCAAAAATTGAACAAAATCACCAACACATTTTCTTTAAACTCTCGTATTTTGAGAAGTTTCTAACTTTGAGAGAAGTTATCGCCCCATTCGCAGTAACCTAAAGTAAGCTGAATGACGTACCCAAAATCAATCTCAATTTCTCTTCATGTTCACTGATCATTGATCGACCGAACGTGAAATAAGACAGAACATTATTAAAAAATTTTGTTTCAACAGTTCAACAGGGGTAGAAATACATAAACCAACCAAGACAGAACAGTGATTTTAATCGTCATTTTCGTCTTCATCTTCAAGTTCCTACAAAGAGAGTAAATGTATTTCGAGTAGACGAAAATGAAGTAATAACAACACAACAGCGAATAATTTAACGCCAATACGCTATTATCATTTCAGGCATTTTTCATAATTATTTTTCTAACCACACGAACTGATGAAAGAATCTAGCATACCATCATGAGAAAAATACTAAAACAAGATGCTTAAAACGTGAGTTAAAAACGTTTATAAGATGTGTGCAATCATTTTCAACGGCTTAGCATATCATTTTCAAAACAATGGCTACAACAGAAATATTTTAAATACAATGAACTGGTTATTTGTTTACATGCAGATGTAATTAAATTTTATATTTCCGTCATTCCAAACAGATCTGCAAAATAGCAGAATACAGAAAAATTGTCCTGACAACAGGAAAAAAACAGGTACAACTGGACCTGTCACAATTACAGCGACGCAGCGCAAAGTGCGTTCAGTGTAGGCGTCTCATGAAGTTATGGGACAATAAGTAGCTCAACTGAAAAATGTCAGTCCCATTTGAATGAGTTTGGGCTTTTCTCGATATTTTATTCACCATATGCAACGCAACGGCACTATATGTAGGCTATATAGGTATATAGGCAGGCTAAATACTAGAATTTCCGGAATATCCATATAGCAGGAACGTCTCAATATCTGTAATGCTGAACAGTAAACAGTACTAGTCAACAGTTTTCTAACTTAATCTAGTGCATTAATGCTATCACTCTAAAAAGTAATCTTCTCGCATTTCAACATTACTAAAACATGAAAACTGTGGCTGAGGCAAAAAGATTGAAAGACTGCATATTTTCATGTGAAAAAACGCTTAGGAAGTATAGAAAACTTCTTCGACACAGAAAACAAAATACCTCAGAGTCTAACTCTTCGTCTTCAACTGCTTCATCTTCCATAAGACTTTCGTCAGAAAGGTCCTATGAAAACAAAAAATTAATAAAAATTGTAATCAATCTTAATAATTTAAACAGCTTAATCAGAAAACTATGAAGTTACCTCAAGGAAGAAAATGCATTCGATACTTGTTTAACGGAAAACGCATCGCAAAAATAAATGAAGGAAAAACAGAATGTCACTGGTGGTCCTAATCCTTACGTCGACAGCCTGGGAGGTCAATGTAAACTAACTTTATACATTGGGACTGAACTGAATTAAATTGAAAAATTAAAAGGCTTTCTTTGTCTCGATCATGTAAAAACATCATTTCATATTTGGCAATATGCAAGAAGCATGGTCTTATTCGTCTCAAAACATTATATTTATAGTTATCAATCACCATAATCGAACTTACGTCTCCTTCGTCAGAGTCCTCTTCCTCACTGGTTTCTTCTTTCGCCGCAACTTTCTTACTTTGTGGTTTCTTCGGAGTTTGAGCTGCAACACCCTTTTGTACAGCTTCAACTGAGGGCTTCTTTTTCTTTGCAGACTTTTCAACTGATTCTTCTTCATCGCTCACGGCAGCATTTTTTCCCACCTTCACGCCTTTTGCTAATTGCTTTTGTTTCTTTGAGGATGTGGCTTCAACAGCAACCACTTTCGGTTTTGGAGTCGCCCCTGAATTTGACGTTGGTGTGTTCTTCGGAAAATCCTTCCTGATATTTTTTGCCAACAAATCGTGGTCGACTAAAATAGAACAGTTTAATCACATGCAAAAATATAGAACAGAATGAGCAGAGATCAACGCAGTTTAGGAATCTTGCTAGAACTAAAATATAAATGCAGCCATTTTAATGAAGGACGAATTATCTACATAAATACATCATATCACTAAGAAACAAATGAACTGTAGTCATGGATATTGATAGCTTTTGTGTCCTGGAGACATAAACAACCTAAGCACTGTTTTACGACACGGTTAGCGTCAATAATGTGTTACCGCACACTCGGAGTACAAACCAGATTGCGAATGTTGATATAATAATCTGAAAACGGATCAGGCTGACAAAAGCAGATCTTTCGACAGAATTTAACGTTTAAAAGTGTTATCACAATACAAGGTGTTATTTGAATCTGTATACATGTAGATACGGTAATCTTGTCAACAATTAAAATTTTATGTTCACAAGTGCTTATACAGGACAGCGATAGTTCAATTTAAATATTTTATCTCGCGGTTAGACCAGAACCACTATTTTTGACAATCGATTTTCAGAGCTGAAAATCTGAAATATGCCAAAAAAGAGTAAAAACCAAATTCTAGGACAAAATGAAGTTTCAGCGAAATTAATTAATGAACGTAGTGTCTATTAACACGAAACAATGTATTTTCTGCCAAACGTTCACAACAGAGCTCATCATACTGTTAGCGGTGGCTGACTATGACTGATGCATATCTTGGAAGAAATGTTTTGTTTCCAATCCAAAAACTAAAACATATGGAATCGAATACTACTAACAAACGGCAGGAAGAAAGCATATGAAAAATTCCCTTTAACTCTACGGCATGTGCAGCCTCACTGAGTTAGTATGTATCTACCGGCGCATTTATAGTACATTTCATTGGAACAAACGTCAAGTGACTGCATAAAAATGCATCACACACCTTTCCGATCCCTAGAGTACAGAACGACAACTGGAACACCACTGAGTTTGAGATCTTTGTGGGAGTCGAATGCCTCGCGAGCAGCTTGAGCGGTATGAAAATGCACTAAAGCATGTCTAAGAAAAAACATGGTGTAACATGAATTTCAGTATCTAACATTAACGAAACATCATACGTCCTGAATTCAGATTTGTCTGGAAATTGTACTTTTGAACAAGATGGGAACGCCGCTTTTACTTCGGCTTCTTTCACGGTTTGAGGAAATTCTCCAACATATAATATAAGTGGATTTATCATACGGTTCTCCGCATACGGCGCTGAAAAACAGCCTGTGGCTCAGTGAATAACGCTGACAGATGGAAGGCTTACACTTTGCGGCAGCGTTTACACTCTTGTCGCCACAGAAATCGACGAATATCTCGTGATTACCCAACTTGGCATTCTTCAAAATTTCGTAATTCTTTTCGCATGTGTCTTCGTCAGAAAATGTAAGATAGCAAAACCTGAGTAATCACAAAATAAAATTTGCAAAATCTGTGCTTTTCTCGTTGCAACTGCTTACCTCATTATCTTTCCTGACCGTCTAACATGCAAAATATCTGACGAGAGACTTTTAATATCTTCGATGGCACAGACCTTCGGAAGATTTTTCACAAACAGACATGAGCTATCCCTTGCCTTTCTTCTTGCTAGTTCTTCAGCAATTACTTTGTCATCGGCTAAAATGGATATCTATAACTGAAAGAAGCTAGGCCACTTAACGTCACTCACCGCGAGCGACCACGGGTTTGCTTTTCTTAGATGGTGTCTCTGAAACAGAAGTCTCGGCTTTTCGCTTTTGCAAAGTGGACTCTTCTGACTGTTGCTTTTCTGAAAGGAGTAGGATTGCTGTGCAAAATGTAAATATTCAGATGAAGCACTGCTATAAACTACGAGGGGAAACAATCAAAACTGGTTTCCGAAACCTAAATTTCAACCACTACATATCCTGAATATCTCTACAAACTAAGTCACCTGCATTTGAAAACTTGTACCGTACCTTTCCGGCTGTTTTCGTTTTAACTATTATACTAAGGCATATACAATTTACTTGGCATATTTTTTTATATCGACGCTTGCTTCTTTTAAATTTTACATTATTTGTTCATCAAATTTTACATTTTTGATACCGCACCTATATCTAAAAAATTAGGCCAGAAGGAAATCGCTTTCGAGAAAATATGCCCTCAAACTCAGACAGCATACGCGTTACCATTTTCAAATTTATATATAAACATGTATGTGAATTAAACAAACCGAACTACTACCATAAAACATGTAGAGCTTAATGGCGTTTCACGTCGTAATACATGACGCCAACAGGCACACGATTTTAACTTATGCAACCAAGCCATTTGATTAATGCTTACCGTTAATTTCTCCGATTTTTCCTTTCATTTTTTTCGGTAGGGGGGTCTGTTTCATCTAGAAATAAATTAGTTACAACAGTAAATTGCTAAGAGAACTAGTTCTTTAAAACCACATAACAGCAATTAAGTAAGAGTATTGATATTGACCTAAAAATTTTACACCCATGCAGTGAATGCAAAAGTTTGTACAATATATGTTACCGCTGTCCATAAATTTTGCTTTCCGTTTACGGTTTGTTGAAATAAAGCACTGCAAAAAATTTTAATGCCTCTAAATATTAGAAAAATATTTAATGTTTCACTGACTATTAAAATTCAGCATAAGTGCTTGCAATTACACGAAAGAACATGTAGGTTAATAGATCAGGTTCGATCAATTTGCTCCATCGACAAATTAGTCAACAGAGTTAAATTTAGCGAACGGTTCGAGAAAAGAAACATTAAAATCGTTAATAACTAAGGCATCGGTAGCAGAATCTAGTCCTTTAAGCAAATATTTATTATTTTGTTAATTATTTAAAGTATCTGATTATTTAATATTATTATAAGGCAGACTAAATTCGGAACCTTTTCAGTTTTCTTAACACCTGAAGACGCTGAACTACTGCTGCCGGGTTTCGCTTCCGCGATGTGCTCTTTCGCACTCTTTATCTTCTTTTTGGAAACTGAAAAATATTTTAACCTGAAACGACCAATATCAAGTAATCAATTTACTTGTCTCTTTTTCGCCACTCTCTTCGCTCTCAAACTCAAGTTCTTCGCTGTCCAACTCTAGATCGTCGCTACTCAACTCCTCATCTTCAACTTCTTCCTCACTTTCCAATTTCTCTGCATTCTTCTTGGGCTTACCTTCTGCACTCTATAATTGTTCTCTTCATTAGGTCGTGATAAGATTTTACTTTAAACCTTTTTAACAACGGCGTTAGAATTTCAGGTAATTTAAAGACATCAATGTAATTTGTAAGACCAGTGAACACGGATTCAAAGCAAATAGTTGCATTTATCAATAGTCTAGTAGTAACGGCAACAAAATTACTACGAAAAGAAACTAGTCCGATGACTGCAGAGCAA